GTTAAAAAAATCTTATTTTTAAAAAGTTAGTTTTAGTTTTTTAAAAATTAAGATAAGAGAAAAGTTTAGAAAAAAAAAATTAGAAACCTTACTATTTTAAATATTAAAATTACTTATGAAATATTATTTAAATACTTTTAATTCATTAAAAGTATCTTAATTTTACACAATCTTAAAAATTTATTAGCACTTTTTGGACAAAATAAAAGTTACTTGGCACTTTTTTTCTCTTATTTTAAAATTTTGATTAAAAAATCTTTACTTTGTAGCATTTAAAATATTTTGAATCAAGTTCCGAAAATAAGTTAAGCACCGAACCGACTTTACTTAGTCTTTTTTCATTCCTTTATTAACCTTACCCTAAATCATTTTATTTTATTTTGAATTTAGCATTTAGTCTTGCCATTAGGGAATAACTTTCCTAGTAGTTAACACAAAAAAAAAATATATAAACAAAAAAAGATTGAGGGTGTTGTGGTGAAATGAAAAAAAGATGGGAGGCATATTCGTTAGCTTTTTAAAAGATAAGTGACTTAGTAAATTCCGCGTACACGCAATCGCCAGGTCTCAGGAAATGCCGGCCTCCTTCTATATACGTATCTCTTCCGCGCAGAAAAAGAAAATATATACAAGGATTCTCCGTCCCTTCTACTCGTTGGAGCAGCTCTATACCAAGCAGAAGAAAATCAATGGAGAAGATGATCATCACCAACACACCGGCTTCAGTTCCCGCCTTCACCAATCTCGCCTACTGCTCACCTGCCGATCACCATGGCTTCGGCATCCCTCGTTCTCCGTTGAGTCCGCTCTTCCTCGCCAATGTTGCCGACGTCTTCGTCCTTTCCGTTTCATATCCTTTTTCTTTGTTCTTTCTCTTCAATTTCATATAATTAACAGTTTCATTCCTTTGTTTTGCTTGAAAATTCCAAGTTATTCTAAAATTAGTACATGCTACTCTCGTCAACTTTATAACCATTTGAAAATTAAAGTTGTCATCGATAATTTTGAGAAATGAGAAGTGATTGTTTTGTTTCGAGAGAGTAAGAATTGTTTTGATTTTGAGGATTAATCACACCTTTAATCCAGATGCGCGTGATAATTGCTTTTTTTTTTTTCTTTTCTTTTTTCCCATCACATGAACTTGAGATGCGAATGATTATTTGATAATGTATTGATGAGAATGAGAATTGGTTTAGTTACATGGTAGTTTCATTTCTGTTTAGTTGCTTTACATCTGAGTTTCATTTTAGGCACGTGTTTATGGATCATCAGTATTTGATATTTGTGTTTGTATTGATAATTCTACCACATTTGATAAAGTGCTGAAAGATCTTGGAAGTGAATTCCTTCATCACTAGCTACTTTCCTTAGTTTCATGGCATTTTCTTCATATGTTGATGATTTCATAATTTGATATCATTTTACTTCATCTGCTTTGATTTTACCATATGTATTTTAGATATTTGAGTGTTGAGGCCATAAACTATCTTATTTATGAGAGGAACTGCTTGAGCTGTGAAGTAGAAACTAATCTCTAAAATATAGTTTATGAGCAAAAATAGGAAAGTAGATATTTAAGTTGTGTTATTTTTCAGTTCCTCTTTTTTATTTGGTACTAAATTTTTTTTTTTTTTTTAGCCTTAATCATTATTTTGATAAACTTGTTGCCTTTTTAAAGATCAAACTTTTAAAAAATTACTCCAAATTACTGGTTGTTTTGAGGCCTTAACTTAGGTTTACTCGTCATAAAAGTATACCTAGCGGCTACATTGCCCTGAATGCCATCCAAC